AACTGTAATATGAAAAACTGCCAAATAGAACGAAATAGAAACTCAATCCAAACAAATTGAACAATATGTGCTTTTAAAATAGGTTTCTGGGAGAAAACGAAGGTTGTGATGGATGAGTAGACAGAAGGCATGCGAGTAAGGGATTCTAAGACAATGTGTAGCTCAAACACCCTCAAGATAAAAGGAAAGAGGTAAAATGGGAGCAAAATGTTCACTGGAATTATCTCAGTTGGACACTGATTGGTTTGCATCTGCTTAATGACACTTGGAGTTCCAGTGTCACGTTCCTACTTCTCTGATCGCTTCCTGTAACATGAAAACAATATGTCCTTGAGTCACTCAGACTGGAACAGGAGCCAGGCTATTCTAATTGTGTGCACCTTAAAAGCAAAGTTGTCAGTTGTGGCTGGTATAACATTTGTTGTGTTTTTTTTTCTTTTCTGCATTTACAAATATTGACTTATGATTTCCATGGGAGGGGAGGATGTGCTGGATGTTCAAGATGCAGAATGTTTTACTCTTACTGTTGACAAACTACTGCACGATTTCCCCTCTTTCTGATTCCAGTTTTTATTTTAAAAAAACGCACAGTGAAGTTTTCATTTTGGGTTTTTATTGTTTATAGTAAATCTTTATCACGTTGACAAAACACTATCGATGTTTCTGAAACACCCCGGCTGCAGAGAGATGACAGATTTGAGAAGTTAAATAGTAAATTAATCCAAGGTCTGTTTGTCTGACAAACATGAGCAACACAGTGGGTGCCTCACAGCTCAGTCTTGGGGAATACATTTACAAATCCAATACATTTTCAAAAGCCAAGCCAGATACAAATAATTATAAATATTGTTTTTATACACAGTAAACCTTTAAGAAAGTCAAGACCCCCTACTGAAAAATTAATATAAGCCTTCTGTATAAATGAGAAGATCAGAAAGTTTTTTGTTTAAGGGTTTCCTTGTGGTTTTTATTACTGCTGACATTCACTTAGAAGAGGCATCAGTGTCACTTGTTATCTTTGTTTGTTCTGGTTGGGAGTTGAGTATAGTCAAAGGTACCCTCTAGGTATGTTTTGTATAATTTTTTTTACAAAATTAAATAAAAAGGAACTTCTTGCATGTGTACAGTGTAAGATTTTTCCATTACCTAGAACAGGTCTATGTTAAAGAAAAGAAACCATGAAAAGTAAGTTTGTAACTCCCTTAGAATTACTGTTCAACCCTAGAACATTCATTCATTTTAAATCGTATGTATGAAATTTCACTACTTGAGTACTAGTAGTTCTCAGTAATAATTAATTTCAATTATACAACACTTTTCATCCCAAAGGATGTTTTAAGATGCATAATTTGAATTATCTTCCTTTTTAAATAATTGAAAGTCTTTACATTCTGGTTGCTTTCATTTGTGGAATTATGATTAATTTACAGAGTCTCTTTTTAATAAAAAATGATTTGATAAAATTATAATAATATGATGATGATGGTGGTGGTGATAAAAAATAAACATGCATAGCATGTGTGATTGTGTATAGCACCTTTAAAAGTAGTTTCTCAAAGCACTTTACAGTTAGAAACAAAAACAAAAATGATTAAAAAAATATAAAAGAGTACAATAAAATACAAGGTTTTTGAGTGTGGTGGAAGATGCAAAGGTGCAGACACAGACACCAGTTAAATAAAAGCCCTTTTGAAGAATAAGTTTTTTGGCTCAGGAAAGGGGACTCTCTGACAGCTCTGGAGGGCAGCAGGAGAAGACCCTGTCACCCCCAGAATGTAGAAGAGCTTGGGGGAGAGGGAAGACCAGAGTCAGGCGAATGAAGGGTGCAAGGTGGAGAGGAGGAAGATAATAATTCAGACTGGTCCTGAGGTACCAAGCCATGCAGAATTGCTCAGCCACTTAAAAAGTATTGTTCAAAATTCCAAGTCAGCCCCCTGACCAGAAAAATGCTAGTTTAAGTAAAGGCTACGTCTTTTATTGGTTGTCAACCAGATTCTATACATACGTCAAAGCCCAACTGGACTAAAAACCTCTTCTCTCACTGTCATCTCCAGTTTGCATTGCTGTCAGTGAGAGAAATATCTCATCTCTAATTGCTGCTAACTCTGGATCGTGTGAAGCTCACAGTGTGAATAAAGACGTGGGAGACGCTGCCAGTCTATGTATTGGATAATAGTCTGCGTGGTCTCTATCCCTCCTGTACAGGTACAGGGTTATGACAAAGTTGTGAACACTTGAGATTTCCAAAGAGGGGGGGTAGAAAGGGGACAGTCAGTGATTCTAGATTTCTATGGATGTACGTACTGTAAGTAATTCAAACAAAAGCAGCGATTACTTGCTTCTTTCTGGCACTGCAGAAGATCAGTGAAAAGGCTTCCTCTTCACTAACCCATGTTCTGCTGTTGTAATCTGAGACAGGAGTGGCAGCTTGAATTGTTTCCAGCCCTGAAGAAAGCCGGCAAGGCTCGGTTTGCATGACCAGACTCAGAGAGCTTTGTGATGTGTGCTCAGCCATCAGGAGATCAGAATTGAGCCACCCCTCCTCCCTCCTCCCCAGCCCTAACAAGTGCCAGGACCTGTGATAACCTGCCGGTGCAGCTGTGTGTCTGCACTCTTGGACCAGGAAATGAAGGAGAAGCCCACACAGCTCTGCAGCTCTTGGGCTTTGTTTTGTCTGCTTCAGGCAGCTGGTTTCTTATTAACTAGATTCTTTCGTGGACCTCTCACAGCCCTGAGACAGAAAGGCCCTATAGGCCTGGAACACCAACTCTAAACTGTCCATTAACTTTATAAAACATTGCCAGCCTTTGAAGTTTTCCATTTAACAAAAAAAAGAGAGTTCTAGATGAAAAAAAGCCTCTTCCAAAGTCTAATTTTAAGGAACATACTGCCTTTTTATTACTGTCACTCGTATATATACTGTATACCATTAACATTGAAGTGACAATAACATTATTTTTTGCAATAGTCAGTATTATTCAAGCTTATTTTCCATTGAAAATTTCTAAAAATATATTAAAGTTATGCTGGTCAACAACTACAATTCTTGTTCATGTTAATAAGTTTTTAGTATTTTATATGAAACTTTCAGAGATTAAACTGCATATTCTTGTAGCCTCCTTAATGTTTTTTAAGAATGATTTAAAAACTTTCTATATTTTTTCATTCTTAGCATTGTGTAGCTCATGTTAACTTTGTTAGTAGACTAATTTTTCAGTTCAAAATATTTCTGTAGCAATTACAGGGCAATTTGTACCCTAAAAGGTAACCTCAAATTTTCACTGAGTGATAATATGGACAATATTTGGTCTGACTCATACTTGAAATTCTTTGCTCCAGATCCCCAGTAAGTCAGTGACTTCACAGGCATCCTGTAGCTAATTTCCCTCCCTTGGGTCAGTGTAATTTATCTGTGGTCTGTGCTACAAAGAGAAGACATTGCAGTTTTCCTCCACAAATGTAAAGATCTAACATTGCTACATTTAGGCCGAGGGTTAGAAAACCCTAAAGTTAAAAAAAGTCTTAGCATAAACAACTACATATTATTCTTAGAAGGCTTCTGTGTCATATTGAAATGATTTTGGTATACATTTGGTATACATAGCCAGGAACTATATCACCCTGCAACTCATATCTGGCAACTCCATTGGAGCTCAGCAGATGTGAGCCTGGTCAGTACCTGAATGGGAGACCTCCTGGGAAAAACTAAGGCTGCTGCTGGAAGAAGTGTTAGTGGGACCAGTAGGGGGCACTCACCCTGCAGTCTGTGTGGGTCCTAATGCCCCAGTATAGTGATGGGGACACTGTACTGTAAAAAAGGTGCCGTCCTTAAGGTGAGATGTAAAACCGAAGTCCTGACTCTCTGTGGTAATTAAAAATCCCAGGGCTTTATTGAGAAGAGTAGGGGTGTTACTCCATTGTTCTGACCAAATTCCCCACTGGCCTTTACCTATCATGGCCTCCTTATAATCCCCATCTCTGAACTGGCTTCATCACTCTATTCTCCTCCACAATGAGAGCTAATGTGAGGTGTAGAGCATCTTGATGGAAGACTAGAGACACTCTAAATGTGAAAGCAGTCTTAGTGTTTTAATGTCTTGATAGTGTAGACTGTGAAAATCATGTCTTGAGCTCTTTTCATGTTTTCCTCACCATGAACAAAGTATTTGAAGAAAAAAACATGAACGTCAAAAAAGTGTTTTTTATCTAGATTTTTTAAAGAGTGGAAATATTTTTAAAATTAAATTGTTTAATTCCCATTAGTTAGAACTACAAGTTACAATTCTAGCAATTGTACACTGCAAAGATTTCAGAGCCACAAAGTGTGTGCAAAATTGAATAAGCATATTTCCAAATGCTATTCTGAGGGGTTATAACGGAGAGGTTTTAAAATATCTCCATCACTCTGAAACTGTGACAAAGACTTCACAGCTGCTTGCTATGAAATGTAAGATGCTCTAAAGTTAAGTTAAGCATCCTGTCCTCTGTACTGTATTATTGCGTATGTAGTTCAATAACCAAATCAGCTGTTTACTCTTTTATTGAAACTATGTGTCACGCCTTTACTTGCTGCATACCATTAGAAATCAAAATGGTGAAATCTTCCTTGATGTCAGCACTTTGAAACGTGGATTTATTGCAATGTACAGTTCCTCTGGTACAGTATTGCCTTTGAGCTTTTTCATATAGCTTTCAGATATCATGATCTCTATTGATGCTACCTGCTGTAAACTGCTGACTTGTTTTCACGCCATAGAAACAACAGAGGATGATTCGTATGGTTACAGAGCAGACAAGTATCAGCTTGTTTATTCCCTAAACTGACAGCCCCTCCAGGTTGGATGGTGGTGTCGTAGTAAAGCGTTCTTCGAGATGGGGGAAAAAAATCCCTGCTGCCAACCGTTGCCTGTCCTGGAGAAGAGGGTACTTGCTTTCTTCTGCATGGTCTCGGTGGCACGGGGCTGGCTGTGACTCCCCTGCCACGTCTGTCCTCTCTCCAGTGTCGTCATGCATCACCACCTACAAGAAGACGCCCCCGCCCGTCCCCCCCAGGACCGCCACCAAGCCCTTCATCTCCATCACGGCGCAGAGCAGCACCGAGTCGGCCCAGGACGCCTACATGGACGGCCAGGGCCAGCGGGGGGACATCACCAGCCAGTCGGGCCTCAGCAACTCCACGGAGAGCATCGACAGCATGAAGGCCCTGACGGCCGCCATTGAGGCCGCCAACGCCCAGATCCATGGCCCGGCCAGCCAGCACGTCAGCAGCAGCACCATCGCCCTCGCCTCCGCCTCCGCGCTGGTGCAGGCCCCCGGGGACAGCAAGAAAGACCTGCTGCGCAAGAGCAAGTGCTTATCCATTGGGATACAGGTACGGCGCTCCTCGGAGGAAGGTACGCCGGTACCCGACTGTGGCTCCCTCTCAGCGGCTGTGCAGCGGAGGAGTAGCGTAGGTGAGGAGAGGAGTTTATTTGCCAGATCGCCCTGCAGCTCGTCGCCCGGCAGCCCACTGGAGCTCAGCAGGTGTGAGCCTGGTCAGTACCTGGATGGGAGACCTCCTGGGAAAAACTAAGGTTGCTGCTGGAAGAGGTGTTCGTGGGGCCAGCAGGGGGCGCTCACCCTGCGGTCTGTGTGGGTCCTAATGCCCCAGTATAGTGACGGGGACACTATACTGTTCTTTGGTTGAGACGTAAAACCGAGGTCCTGACTCTCTGTGGTCAATTAAAATCCCAGGGTGTTTCTCGAAAAGAGTAGGGCTGTAACCCCGGCGTCCTGGCCAAATTTGCCATTGGCCTTTACCAATCATGGCCTCCTAATAATCCCCATCTCTAAACTAGCTTCATCACTCTGTTGTCCTCCGCACTGGTAGCAGGTGTGTGGTGAGCGTTCTGGTGCACTTCAGCTGCTGTCGTATCATCCAGGTGGGGCAGCACACTGGTGGTAGTGTGCAGGCAACACAGTACAACAGACAACACCACACAATGTAGACAGTGCATCACAAAACAGTACATAATAAATAGTAACAACTGGAACAATAAATGCGTTGTAGATAATACATATGTGGTGGTGACGGCAAAAAACATGGTAGGCCATGCAAAAAGTGCTTTGTGCAGAGATGCATTGAATTCTGAGGCAGTGCAGTTAGCTGTTAAGGATGTGCAGTGCAGTAGGGTAGAAGCATTGTACACATTACTACATGACCCCTGACCCCTGACCTATGCCCTAGCAGGTCATTGGGTGCTGATGCAAATTCTCCTTCTCTTTCAATTTTAATGCAAAAACAACAATAGCAGCACTTGCACTTGCTGAGTTTCCACCCTTGGGTTTGTGTTTGTTTCACTGTTGATACTGAAGAAGTTCACGGGGTGGATTTTCTGAATACCTTCAAGAATTGTGAATAATTGATTGAACCTGATTGAACAATTTAGTAAAACAAGACCTACTTTTTCTAAATTCAGCAAACTTATGGACAGCAGACTTTTGTACATTATGGGAATCCAGCTGTCTTGAGCTTTTCATTAGTACATGTGATCCCTATGCTCATCTTAATAATAGCTAATAGATTGGGTAAAAAGATCAGGTAATATTTTACAGCGGTTTGTGGAAAATAATGCTTCCTTCTTTTTTTTGTCTCAGGTTGATGGACCTGATGAGTCACCTGATATGGAAGAAAATTCTGTTTCACATAAGTTCCAGTCCGTGGGGATTCAAGTTGAGGAGGAGAGATGGTGAGTAAGACCTTTTATCAAGTAGGAGATTGTTTTGTTTGTTAAAGGTGCATTTGACTTCATATATTTTTTTAATCTGCAAATGAAAATTAAAGACTTGGTATTACTCCTTCTTGGAGAAAACACTTAAGTGATCTCAACACCTGACTGAACCGATCGTTTCAATATTCCATTTCAAAACAAACATTGTGACTGTTCGCCGAGGGTTTTGTTACTGTTTGTTTGTAATGAAATTAAAGAGATAGTGTGCTGAATACTTTGGCTTTAACTCTCCTGGCTGAGGAAATGACAGTGCTTGTCAGAGATCGGGCCTGTTACTTCCCCCCGAAAGAATCCCCAAACCACCAACACAGATTTCAAACCCTGAGCTCAGAGCGCGCTGGCTCAGCCGCCCTCTCGCTGGAGCAGAGCTGAATGTGTGTGCAGCATGGAGAAACGAAAAACACATCAACTGCGGGAGTGCGAGATTAGAATTTGACCTCCACCTGTTAGTTAAGAGAACAGGCACAGAACAGGCTTAACCATAACATAACCACTGTAGCATTCGAAAGTACTGAAAGGCTTTTTTTATTTTCCATTTTTTGCCAGCAAATATAAATGCTGACTTTATATCAAGTGTTATTTTTAAATACGGTATGCTGCACTGTGAGTTTCATTTATATTTCCAGCTTCTAGTTACTCACGCTATGGCTTAAATGTCGCTTAGATGTGTCGGCAGACACTTAGGACTGGTGAAATGTGAGAGAGATGTAGCTGTTTCCCTTCAGCCTGGGCTAGCTGTCTGCCAACACGCAGGTGGTTGCAGGTGCTGTCAGAGTCCCTGGCACTGCCCGAGTGTGATGTGACCCAGTGTGTACCGGCAGTGCAGCTGCTTCCAGTGGAGAAAGGAGAATCTGGGGCTGCAGCCATTGGTCCGGGAAGCTTTCAGCCAACTTCCTTGCCCTGCCATCTGTCATATTCAGTGCGTGTAGGATAGTTGGCCTGTGCTGCCTGTTGGAAGCTCGGGCATTCTCCCGTTGCAGTACTTTGTGCAATTTATGGCCAGCAGCCCTATCACCGTGCAGCTCACCACTGGCAGCCCACTGAACCTCAGCAGGTGTGAGCCCGGTCAGTACCTGGATGGGAGACTCCTGGGGAAAGCTAAGCCTGCTGCTAGAAGAGGTGTTAGTGGGGCCAGCAGGGGGCGCTCACCCTGTGGTCCATGTGGGTCCTAATGCCCCAGTATAGTGACGGGGACACTAGACTGTAAACAGGCACCGTCCTTCAGATGAGATGTAAAACCGAGGTCCTGAGTCTCTGTGGTTATGAATCCCAGGGCTTTAAGCTTGAGCCCCCATGATGAAAGCGTCTCATGCTGCTGCCGCCACCTCGACCTCGCAGGCCGATGCGTATCACCGCTGGCGTTTCTGCAGGGGGAGAGAGCGTTCAGCGGGGCTCAGCGGCACTGAGAGTGCTGGAAGAGCGACCTCATCCCCTTGAAGCCTAGACAGCAGAGAATTCCAACTCAATTATTCTGAGTAATAAATGATTTAACTAATGAATTGTCTGTGAGAATAATCACGTAAACGATAAAAAGCTGCGGACGGGAAGGTGTAATTCTTTGACGACTGAATCGCGCCTTTCTTTCACAATCGCACACCAGACTCCACGGCCACTGATTAGTGAACTAATTAGGAAGCCGCCATGCAAGAGAAATCAGTCTAGAAATTCAATGGGGAAGGATAGCGACTGTTCCATAATGGTTTTGTCTTTAATGTTACAGTGTTAAGTGGCGTGGATGATAGTTTCAGCTAAATACACTCTGAAGACTCCTCAAAATTAGGTTTAGGTGCCTGTAACTGGCTTTACCTTTCAGTTAGCAAAAATCGTCATGCAAAACTGCATATCCTACACCACAGTGTGAAGGGGTCCGTTTCTCATTGTTGTTTAGACTTGCAAGGTTGCAGCTGTAATTACTCTCAGTGCCAAAGATCCAGGCCACTGCCATGGAAATCTGTGCCAGGTCACTCTTAGAAGAAGACAGCCCAATATAAACAAGTTAGGCATTAACTGTGTGTGTGCTGTTTGACCCCTGCCTGAGTCCTTGCTGTTTATCTGGGACTTTAAAGTTGTATTGTCTCGCAATAGTAGACCAGTTCCTGGGAGGTCTTAACATTTTTACCAGAGGCTGTGTGGACCCTGGCAGGAGATTCCCAGACAGTGAGAATCTCGAAATCCTCTTGTGCTCCTGACAGTAAATCTGACTGTAACTCAACACCAGGCACCAAGTAATCATTTAACTTGCTGAACAGTCTTGGAGGTAGGGGTGTGGGGAAGGGCAGATCACTTCAATGATTGAAAAGGGCCGCCCGCAGCCTTTTGGTTTCAGGAGAGCAGAAAGCGTATAGTAGCCTCACCAAACCACTTCTTTTTGAAGGCAGTATTTTAGGCAAAGTGTTTCTTCTTGGATAACATGCAGGGTGTGAAACGTTAGCGTAAGCAATTACTTGAGCATCTGTTATCTTTAAGGTGTGACTGTTTTGCTCAGGTCCTCTTAAAAAACGGTTTTGAAAGTGCTTCCTCTTGCTGCTGGGGGAAAAAAATATTGGCAACCTGCCATGAACTTTCCAGCGTACCATTTCCTTAAATGAACAACTGTTCTTAGCATGCTGTTATTAATAATAATTGTATACGTTAAAATTAGCCCCTAATAAAATCCTTTTCTTTTGCAAGAAGAAACAGATTTGGAGTGATAGGCTTTTTGTTGCCTACGGCACTAATTATTACGATTATTACAAACACTTGTACATCAGAAAAAGGGATAAGGAGTAGATACACTACCTCTGTTAATTGCTGGTGTTGAAACCTGGAAAAGGCCATCAAAAGTTTCATGTGATTTTTTACGTGTTTGTTGGGTATGTTTAGAAAGGTTTTTGGTTTAAATAGATCTGCACCATGGTTTTGGATAATTATGATTGGATGAGTTAGCGGCAAATTGATATATACTCTACTTAGAAAACTACATCCTTCAAAGTTTTACTGTCATACTAGAAATCAAATATATCATTTAAGCATACATATGTTCATTTTTAGTAAATATTTTTGAACAAGGAAGATTCTAGTACATACAGTTCTGTCTTATGTTTACAAGGCATATAAAAAATCAGTTTTGCTTTCTCTTGAATCTCTGGCACTTGTATTTCTCCTTAATGTTAAATTGAACAGTGCTTATTGCATTAAGATAAAGGACATAAAAGTCTTATGGTCTTTAATACCAACTAATTAACACTATATTAAATATTATGATTCACTTATCAGCCTACCTATTTGTTTTGATGTCTCATGTTACTTTTGCAGTATTTTTTTGGTCTTGAATTCAATGATGAATGATTTATAAATATGCAGATATATGTGTCTCCGGTGCTGCCCTGCAAAGGTACGCTAGTTTGTCAAACACATGTGACAGAAGATGCGTTTCTAGCCCAGTTAATTAAAATGCAATAACACCAAAGAGTGTGGGCTTTCATAGTCTGTTCACTCGCAGTCCAGTTGTTTTAGCTTGCAAGTTCATAGGTCAGGTACTCACATCTGGATCCTGTCAGTGTTACCAGAGTGCTGCAGCAGTCTCTTATTTCCCCAATAAAGATATCTCTCCATGTCACCATGGTGTGTCAGAACCAGTTGCTTAATATTTGTTTGTTTCAGTTACAAAAACAAATTAGGTCAACTTCAGTGGTTTCCATCAGAAATCTGATTAACTGTATGTAATTTCTTATGAAACGAAAGACATTTTCCACTGAGAACCAAGCTGGCCAAGACCACCAGTAATAAATACTAAAAATCTTTTTCAAGGCTGGGTGGCAGTTCTTTTGGTTCGACTAATGTGCACCACTTTCTCTCCAGTCTCAACTAACTTGGGCATTCAGCTGTGTGATTTATGATCCTGTTTGATTGACTCCACCTGACTGTAACATGAGCTTTACACCAGTGAACACAGATAATGTTAAATCTCTCTGAAGCTTGTTTTCTTCAGCAACATAGTGACCTTGGCACACACATCCCATCCAGGAAGTCGTTAGGAGGCTGATAAAATGCAGCCTGAAATTATTAAAGTGCGGCACCCCTACTCACCACCTGTTCTGCCGAGTTATTCTTTAACTTGTGAAAGCAGACTGTTTGATCATGCGGGAGGAGAACTTGCCCAGTGTTTTAAAGGAAACAAGTGTTAAAAATTTAAGAGTCGGTGTCAACCATGAAGGGCGCTGCAGAACAGACTCTGCATTGTACTTCATACTCGTTTATCCTGTCTTTGTGGTTTCTGAGCCCGGTAATGTTAAATCTCTGAAGAAGCCGATGTGATTGTAATGACAACAGTTCAGAGACCATGTGACATCTTCAGTCATAACTCTGTGGCCTACAGTTTTTTTCACAGTCATTGGCATCCTTTCATGTGTCATTCATGGAGGCACGTGCTAGCGTCCTGCAAAAGGGCAGGGCCACCTTTCAGGCAGGTAAACGTTCAAGTGTGTGTTGGTTTAATAACATACGTCTTTGTGTGTTTTATGCAATATTTCCGCACACATGTTTGTATCTCAAGCGATAATACTTCAGGAAACGTTCACCAAAAACTACAGGACGTCATGTTCGGGTGTGTTCAGTTCGAGCAGCCTTCTTGCTGTTTGTTTTCATAAATCCTTACACTTAATACCCCTGGCTTCCTTCAGGACATGGCTGGATGTGATCCTTGGATCAATTAGCTATGAAGTACCAAGTGGCCAAGTGGCCTCCTTTTGTTTGAACCTGTCTTATGTTATTATATCTATGATGTTCTAAAGGGCAAGAATAGTGCCTTTACACTGTAATTCGGTATAAAACAAACAGTACATGGAAGTTATTAACTGAAGTTGGGGAGGGATAACAACGGCATTTCAATCTCACACAGCTGCACCTGATCACCATCATCGCCAAACCAGCTACATAAACTGAACTCAGACTCCTCCCTTTGCATTCGCTAGTACACAGAATGAAATAGTGTCAGCAGTTTTACTTAGCGTTTCGATTATGTTGCACAGAGAAATAAAATCAAATGGAAGCATAAATAAGAAAAAAGAGGATACATAGTGCCGGTATTTATTGAATCATTTCTAAATGTGTTTCTTAAAGGAAGCTAAAACATGTGGAATTGTCACACGTCTGACAGACATCCGTAAGAGATCAACTCATGTTGTCGACCATTAGCTCGAACACAAACATGTAGACAGTATGATCTTTCACAGACAGGCAAAGGCAGTGGACATGGGCTACAGGGATAGCCATTCATCCAGTCTGCAGTGCTGGAGAAAGATGAATGATGTTTTGGTGGTTAGCTTTTACATACATGCCTCCTCAGCTGGTGCTTGATGGAGTCAAGATCCAGTAATTTTCTAGACTGAAGAAGAAAGTATTGAGACATCATTACCATGTCGGAAGTAGCACCACCTTCTTGGAATTACATGGGATGACATTGATGCTGTTGCAATCTGCAGTAGAGGACAAGCTTCAAAATGTCTCTCATTCGAACTGTTCAGGGAAGTTCTTGTTCAAGCAGAGCAAGGAGCTGACCGATGGTGTAGACTCTGCCCTTTGCAAGTATCCATGAGATTGTCTTTCATGCCAATGCATACACTGCCACCACCCAGCCTTGTGATGCCCAGTGGTCTGGAGTCAGTATTTAACCATTTCTGGGGTGCCCACTCGGACTCGGCTGGTGAATGTAATCAGTGTTGGCAACTGTGGGTTGTTGGGTGTTCATGTGGTGGACAGGACCTGGGGTGATCAGGGTTGCTTCCTGCTCGTTGGCAGTCGGTGATGGTGGTCAGGCAGTCCCTGCATGTCGATCAGAAGGTCCCAGGGCTTTCATGTGTCGACAGTCCTGTTCTCCGAGCTCCTCTCTTTGATTTACTCCCGTCATGACAGCCCCTTTGGCTGTGGAACCATTGCTTTTGTCCATCCAAACTCAGAGGCGGCATTTTTTTGTCATATAATAATAATAATAATTGCTTACACTTATATAGCGCTTTTTCTGGACACTCCACTCAAAGCACTTTACAGGTAATGGGGACTCCCCTCCACCACCACCACTGTGCAGCCCCACCTGGATGATGCGACGGCAGCCATAGTGCGCCAGAACGCTCACCACACATCAGCTATCAGTGGGGAGGAGAGCAGAGTAATGAAGCCAGTTCACAGAGGGGGATTATTAGGAGGCCATGATTGATAAAGGCCGATGGGGAAATTTCCCGTCATTACAGCCCCTTTGGCTGTGGAACCATTGCTTTTGTCCATCCAAACTCAGAGGCGGCATTTTTTTGTCATATGTATGAATGTGCGTATTGGCATTTCATATGAAAAAGTGCAAAAGGGGAATGTGAGCTCTATTATTTTGGAATGTTCTCTCTAACATTTTCTAAAGTACCTTTCAGAATATTTTATATTACACATTCCATACAATATACTATATCATATTTAATATATTAATATGTAATATGTAATAATGACCACATATATTGGTATGTTTGTAAGTGCCTCACATACATGTAATGAAACTTATGTGGTTTTATTCTTTTTATTTTAGAAGTATTCTGTCCGCTTATGGAAAATGCTTCCATATTTATTGGCTGGCGTCTCAGCAAGGCAATAAACCAAATCATATACCCAGTCCTACCAAGTTCAGTCCAATCCTTTAAGCATGCATTTTACATGATGAAGACCGTTGTTTTGAATGTTTTAGATCTCACCCAGAACATCCCAACAACAGACAAGAACTCAGCAAAGCCTATCAATTAGTATACAACTAATTACTTTTACACTCTGAAATGTACTTAAAATGAATGTGTCCCCATATGTTTACAAGAGTATGTTTTTATTCTGATGAGAACAAATATGTGGATTAAATTAGTCAAAAATAAAAAGGACATTGTACTGTACTTGTCATTCGTATTAGTCTCCTGATCATAAATACAAATTGCTTCAAAGTAAAACACAATTATAGAATTATAACTGACAGTAAAGAGGGGAAAAAGAAATGTCATTATATATTCATACTTTAATAGGACATTTATAGCACTATTTAATGCATGCTTGTTTCTAAAAGCAGTACTGCTCAGTTACACTTAGGAATGTCATGTAAAATGTCTGACCGAAAAACAGTGTAAACAGAGACATCTCATTTCTTCCTTATTAGTTGCATTGTATTTCTAAATTTAAGGTTTTATATTTCTGATAAAAAAACATCAAGCAGAAGCTGGAAATTGTGCCAGTTATTGAAAAGGAACAAGTAATAGGTTTATTCCATGCTGAAAAGAGAAGAAAAGAAACACAACGTTTCGGCTGTGGAGCCTTCTTCAGGTGTGAGACAGCTTCCACATGCTGACACAGCTGCCTACTTGAACTAGTTATTGAAATTCTCTTGTGTGTTGTTTCATAAGTCAGAAATATGCCGTTTTACAGATTCTTAATGTAAATGAAAACAAATTGGAAACAAACAGCATAATAAGTGAAATCTACAAATGTATTTTTATACATGTCCATGTTTCCTAAGAGGCAGTGAAATCTGGGTGAATGAAATCATTCTGCAGTGAGCAGGCAGGAGGATGTGCAGCACTTCACTTGCTAAAGGATTATAAACCATTTGTCCCAGGAGGATGCAGAGACCACAATGCCAAGAGCTCCTTTGGCAAAGTGATAAGATTTCATTCTGTTGACATTATCTTGCTCTGCTTAAGTTTCTCGTCTCACTTCTGCCATTGAGATCTATCATCGGCAGAGACCAGTCCAGGCAGTTCAGAGATTTCAGTGATTCAATGCTGCTGTCAATACTGTCTTTTTTAACACAACACACATCAGTTGTACCGATGGCGGAGCGCTGTCTTCTGTGGAGAATTATTAGATATTTCTAAATTTGAACACACCCTCTTGAAAGGCATCCTCAAAAACCTGGGTTTGAAATGGGTTTTCTGGATGCACTTATTCATTTTGTTCATTGTTTTATTTTCTAATTACCTTCAACTTTATATACTCACAGCACTTCAAACGAGTGCAAAGGAGAATCGGAACCTTCTTTGCTCATCATTTTACAGTTTGTGAGATTCATGTCTAAATATTGTATTTAAATTTAGATCTTGTCATTTAAATAATCACCTTCTTTTTAGAAGAACAAAGATATTTTTCAGCTGGATGAAGAATTAACTTTCCAAACTATGGGTTTGGTAATAGTCTCTCAGGTTTCGAGGTGCCCTCAGAGTGGAGTGATCCGATGTTATATGGTTGAGATTTGTTAAGCATTGTTATTTGTATCAATGCAGGAGTGGTAAGAATGGACATGGTGCCTGAGCTTTTCTTGTTAGTGCTGAGCTGTCAGTTGCTGCACTTTAAAGCTATTAGTGGGTTTTTAAAGGGTACTGAAAATGTATTTAACTAAAAAAACACATCTTAAACTTCCTCTTTACCCTGATGTTTGTAGTACTGAGTTTCTTAATTCAAGAAAACAATAGTTAAAGGGACGAAGGTTCCTCAAATCGGCTTCATTATTTAGTATTTTTAAAGACGGCTTTATAACTCATGAAGGAGAACTGTGAAGCTTTGTGTTCCCAAGAAACTTACTTTTCGTGCAGACACTACTGCTACCTCGTTTAAAGGGAAACTCTTCAGTATCCTGTTTGCAAAGGAACACCTGAAGCTGCGCAGCTTTAGGACAACAGAATCCCGACTTAAAACTGTTTTTCTTTTTGTAATTGGTTGTCTGTAATATCTGCTTGCCCGCGTCTTGCAGCTTCCGAAGGTTCACGAGGTCCAATAGCGTGACGACGGCTGTGCAGGCCGATCTGGATACCCACGAGGTCTTGTACGGCTCGGCAGAACCGCCAGAGACCGACGCCCCATCCTCCGGCTCGGTGTCCAGGCAGTTCTCCCGCGACGCCAGCACTTCCACGGTCAGCATCCAGGGCTCGGGGAACCACTATCACGCCTGCGCCGCGGATGACGACTTCGATGTGGGCTTCGACCCCTCCATCCTCCCGCCCCCGGACCCCTGGATCGACAGCGTGACCGAAGACCCCATGGAGGTGGTGCAGAGGTCCGTGTGCCACAGGGATGGGCGCTGGTTTCTGAAGCTGCTGCAGGCCGAGACCGACCGAATGGAAGGCTGGTGTCAGCAGATGGAGCAGGACGAGCAGGAGAACGAGCTGCCTGACGACAGTACGTGAACCGGGCGGTGTTGTACTGGTCCGTGCCGTTGACGGTCGGGAGACAGCTGATGCCGCGATGCAGAGAGGGTCCTTGTCTTCCCGGTTACTCATCTCTGCTCCGTCATCGTGAAGAAGCTGATCATAATGTAGGCCGCTCATCTATAAAGTCTAAGGACACAGCCATTAAGCCGGAAGAAATCGAAATACAGACGTACAGAGAAATACATGATGGGAGTGTTGGGAGATGTAAAGGCGGCGTTAAGGCTGCTTTGAGCCCTTCGGTATTGAAGAGCTGTTTACTATTAATGGCGAGCGGGTAAGCTGTGAAAAAGATGCAGAAAAATAATACATATCCATTCAAGCAAACTTTTGCACACGAATGAAATTACAGATTGCTAGTGTGAGCTCCACCTCTCCCTGTGTTGCACAGTAATGCAGGCAAACGTGCAAATATATTTTTGGGTGAAAAGTCACAAAGCTTTGTTGTTCTATTATCCTCATTCAGCAGTTCAGTAGGCATACCAAGAATTTTTATTATCAGGGTGTTAGTTGAATGAACATCTGTCTTCATGATACATAATAGTCCCCTGAGCACACTGAATACTGGTCTTCATCACTCAGCTCCTCTTAATGAGCCTTTTGAATTTGCTGCTGGCAGTTGTATGTATGTGTACAGTATTTAAGAAAGTTAAAGGAATTGCAAGCTGATTCTTAATGTTTTAACAGGTTATCAGTGCATTTTGATAGATATAGAATTAGACAACAGCATAACCACCTTATTCTAGTCTGTGAGAACAAATGGTTTGAGTTTAATTCTCTTTCATTTTTACAGCAAAATATTAAACTAATGCACCAGACTGAGCTGGCAGCTGATTTATTGTAAACCTGCTTCAGAAATGCCCTTGTGTGTAATACCAAGTATCAGTACTTTAACATGCCACAGTTCTTCAAAATGTCATTTATTTCCTTGCGCCAATCCAGAAATCCAGAATAAAGAAACCAGGAGGTGCAAGGTCACAGTAACAAAACACTAATCGAACCTCTGTTACCAAGTACTGTTTATTGTAAATTTGGATCTTGACACGTTTTTGTCTCTGAAGGCAAGTCACGATCTCAAACTAGCAGAAGAAGAGTGAGAAACTTTTACAGGTGTGAGCGGGGAGCTGTGTCAGTGTCTGGGCTCCAAAGAGAAACGTAGAGCTTAGTTCCAGGCTGAACAGTAGAAAACGTTTTGCTTTCCTTCGGCTTGATCCTCTATTAACGTAATTCTAATATGCACACATGATGAATGAAACAGCTCCTTTCAGTGTTTGCATTTGCCGAAACACAAATGCAGCTTTTATTTAAAATGCATGAGTTAAACAGTCTGTTCTCTAAAAATAAAAGAAAGTCCCAGCCGTCTAGTACTGACATAACCCGTCTTATGCTCCGGGGGGTCATCTAGTTCACCACACAGTGGAATTTGGCTCGTTACTGGATGTTCTTCTCTCCCCTGATAATGAAACCCAGTTTATTGAGCCAGTGATTTCTTATCGCTCCACCCCGCTTGTCCCCCGTCTTCTCGATGTGCGGATGGCATCCTCTCACCTTCAAAGCGTCTTCAGTCTCCACATGTGTTTTCTACATGAGCAAACTCCACAGTCAGGCTACGTTTAATCACTGTTGTTGTTCCTGTTCTGGGGCTATTTATAGGAAGTCTATTTCGAAACAGATCTGTAAGCTATCGCTGTTTTTACCAGCTCTATACACACGTCAAGCTGCTGCTGCGAGCGGGGAGCAGGAGTTTCGCCTTGCAGCAAACAAGCCCAAACGGCCTTGTTTTATGTTTGTGAAAGGTTGTAATGCCACAGGCGAGGTAGCTGGCACACGGGTTTTGTTGGCCTTATTCTTGCTGGAAAGCTACTGTGACATCCATTCTGGCACTCAGTCTGACCGATCCAGTCCTTCCTCATTCAGGAGCTGCACGCTGTCCAACTGACAAAAGTCCTGTTTACGTTTTGCGGCCTGAGATGTGTGCCGATGTCACATCCTGCTGCTGTGATTTCTATAGTCTGCAACAATATTTTTTTTTTCCTTTCGGTCAGCTTCTTTTGGGGGGAAAAAAAGAAACAGGATATTGACCGGCGTGTCCTTATGTGTAAAATGTGGCATTACAAAATGAGCTGGCTCCCAATATTACATTACTTTTGTGCAGTTGAGAGTCTCATTGTATATTCTTATTGTAAATTATTTTCCAATAATAAGACTGTGGAAAAGCAGCTTGGAAAACTTAACCATCTCTTTATTGTTCAAAAAGTGTGTCTTTTAGTTGGTAGTAGAAAGGCTAAAATTTATTACTCTTTGTAACCAGGATGTCTGTTTCCCCAGACAGAAATGTCATTACCCCAGCACACAGAATGATGAAGTGTATTTTGTTAGTTTTCACCCTAGAATTTGTCACTTATAATGTGGAGGAAATCACTCAACGATACAAAAGAAAAGGAGTTTGGTCTTAATGCAATTTACTTCATGCACTGCATACTTTTTCTCCCTCTTTTTCTATGAAAAGACAATTCACGACATTTATTCTGTGAACGTGCACTATTAATCCCTGTCTGTTTGATTCAGTCCTGGGGAAAATCCGGAGTGCTGTGGGGAGTGCCCAGCTGTTGATGTCTCAGAAATTCCAGCAGTTCAGGGAGCTCTGTGAAGAAAACTTGGTAAACATTATTGAGATTAACTTTATCATGGTTAAACTTTATTTGTATGTTGCTGCATGATGGCTTCATAATTACAGCGACACAAGATGACATCATGCAAAAACAAATGTAATGACCTCTAATGCACATTTTGTCATTTGTGCATGTCCCTATAAAGCATTATGTACAGTATGCATTTTGTGAAAAAAAAGTTATGAAGGGATTATTAAGCCATCATGCAGCAACATTCGAATAAAGTATTATAACAATTTGTTCATTTCTCCGCAATAAACAGAATTTAAAGATTACAGTAGTTTAAGGTGGGGGAATAAACTTTCAAAATAGTACCTTTTATTGTGCCTTTATCCTTTTATTGTGCCTTTTACTTTGGTTACATGTGAAAGCGTTCCTCTATACCAAGGTACCACTTTTTAAATGACTATAGGCAAGGTAAACAGTAGGTATCAGAGTGATTTTTCTGATTCTACTGCAATATTGTAACGTGTATTCTATGTGTTTCATTTCTTATCTACTATCTACTTGTCAGAAATCAAATAAGTGCAGTTTTTTCAAAAGAAAATTCGCAAACATCGTGACTTCCATGCTGCTGTTTACAGAACCCCCACGCCCACCCACGACCCATATCGCAGGACCTCGCGGGATTCTGGGACATGCTGCAGCTCTCCATCGAGAACATCAGCTTGAAGTTTGACGAACTGCACCAGCTCAAGGCAAACAACTGGAAACCCCTGGATCCCCCCGAAAGAAAGGTGACGCAGCTGAACCCTGAGCAGCGGCCCGTCCTGACCCCCCCACTGTCTGCTCCCTGTCGGCAGCACACTGCAGGAAAATAGTCTGGGATCTCTATAAAGTATTTATGCAACACCTTTGACAAGTAGTTACTGATCAGGCAAACCACACAGAAAATGCTCCTAGATTACAGTCTTCAGTCTTCCATGTAAAAATCCAGGATGGACTACACTGCATGGCTCCTTGATAAGCTCTCATTTATCCGTTTCTGAATTGCTCTCACTACTTGTCGTCCCTAAAAGATGCCTGCTTCATTTTGAACATCTAGGAAAAAAATGAATCCTAAATCACTCAACACTATAAAACTGTGCCAATATCGAATGCCACATGGGTGGTAATACTGTATCTCAAAGAGCGATCATACGTGCTTTAATGTTTCCCATGAAGTACTGTCCGTGGAACAGGTTGTTGTCTTCTCTATAAAAATTCTGCTGTCCACCCTTCTTCTTTTCTTCATTATTTTATTATTATTTCGCTTTGTGTTAATTTTGAACCATTGTTTTTCTTATTTTCTCTAAACGTTTGTCAGACGCACTACTTTCATGACTTCGAAACAACCAGATAAGGTAAATTCTGTCTGTTTTGCATTTCATTTCCCGAAATCTTTTTATTTTGTTTTGTTTTGTTTTGTTGACGATGAGCCGGTTTTAAGAGGGCGTCCCACGTGACACTCGCCATCGGCCTGGCCAGTCCTGTCAAATGGCCTCCTGGGGCCAGTCCTGTCAAATGCAGTTGGGCACTTACCAGTGCGGGTGGTCTTTAGACTTCACCTTACTAGTGCGGGTGGTCTTTAGACTTCACCTTACCGGTGCGGGTGGTCTTTAGACTTCACCTTACTGGCGCGGGTGGTCTTTAGACTTCACCTTACCGGCGCAGGTGGTCTTTAGACTTCACCTTACCGGCGCGGGTGGTCTTTAGACTTCACCTTACCGGCGCGGGTGGCACCTGAGAGCGCTCTGGCCTCCGAGTGGCTAACGGAATGATTCTCGTCCCTGTCCAGGAGAGAAAGATGCCCCCTCCTGTGCCAAAGAAACCCCCGAAAGGTCACCCTCCCCTGGCGAGAGACCGGTCCCTGGAGAGCACGGAGAAGCAGCGGCAGGAGGCCCGGAAGAGGCTGATGGCCGCAAAGCGCGCCGCGTCCGTGCGGCAGAACTCCGCCACCGAGAGCGCGGACAGCATCGAAATCTACATCCCCGAGGCTCAGACCCGGCTATGAACCGCCCTGCAACCCCCCTCCCCACACAGACACCGACACACAGACACACACACATGCAGGTCAAGGACAGGGTGCTCGTAATCCAATCACTCCTCTATCCCCCCTTCCGCGGGGGGGCCAGGGGGCGGAAACACAATAAAGCCAATCGTATTTCTTTTTCATTTTCTCTCTCTCTCTGATCATTAAGAGTTATGATCAGGTTTGTTTCCACCTATGTGATGTAGCTGTTCTCCCGACTCCCACAAAACTGTTTTGTGAACCTACTTCTTAGTTTCCTAACTTCCTAACCAATATAGCTTAGCCACATATCTAATGTACCATAGCTGCTGTGCACATTTTTTTTTATTTCTTGACCTTGCTCTTGAGAACAACCGTAGAAAAGAAAGTGTTACAAAACAAAGCTGAGTGCAGCAGATGCAGTATTCAACAGATGCAGTGTCTCTATAATGCTATAATAATTACCCTGCGGTACTCCTGTTAACTTGAGTACGCTGTATGATGTCTTTGTGAGCAACAGTAAGAAGGCAAAAGCAAAAAGATCCTTTTTTCGGGCGGCCGGAGGGGTGGTACTGGGTTCTGCGCTGGTCATTTCATTTAGCAATTTTGTAGAAACTAGGAAATTTAAGAGCAGCTGGAAATTCATTTTCTTTTGTTTAGTCATATCTTTGTACCTGAATAAGCGGTGTCCGAAACGCAAAAAAAAACTGAATGGGCATTCTTGGACAACGGTGGAAAGGGAACAGCAAGCCGCTGTGCGTTAATTCATGAAAACGTGAAGACATCAGACTCCCTTGCTTTCCTGACACGTTCAACTGAAGCTCTTTCTTTAAGGTTGTCATCATTCTCAAGAGTAGAAAGAGAGGAAGGTGTGTTACTGTACCTTTTGAAACCTGCATTATAAAGCAAGGAGACAAGAAACTGTACGAGATAACACCTTAGATTAAGGGTGCCATGTACATTATCAATGATTTGCATTAACACGATCATTTCACTGGTCTGTAGCTATGTTTTGTTTATCATGAGCAGACTTGTTGTTGTGAGTGTTTATAATCGGCAGTTACAAAGATGGTGGCAAGCCCTCTACAAGTTGTAATTCTTCATTCCTCAAACCTTTTGCTACTTTTTGTTCAGCTGAGGACTTGGGAAGAGGCTCCTAACTGATATGTATGTTTATTGATCATCTATACAGGACTCTGAAGAGTTACCAAACATTTAACGCAAACGGTTTATTTCACTTTTTAAACAAAGTCTTTCCAGTAGGTAGTACAGCAGCTCAAAATATTAGCGAACTCTCTTATTGAACCTTCTTCGGCAGAAGGCCTTTGTGATGCATGGGCCAGGGCTAGCCTGGTGCATCAAGAAGACGGTGTTACTCATCCTCTCCTGCCTTGTGCATGGTGGGCTGTGTTAGTATTAACTCTCAGGAAGAGTTGGGGCAAAGCCAGTGGAGCTAAATCCGGATCTCCCAGAAGACAGGCGTGGTGTTAAGTACGCGTGTATTTATGTGTGTGTGTGAGTGTGTGTGTGAGTGTGTGTCTTTCAAGTGCTTCCTAATTTTCAAGGTTGATATTGACCTATTTTTTGGATGTAATGAAGTAGCCTCAAAGACATACTGTATTATAGAAAATCCAGACCCACGTGTATTTATTTTAAATTAATGTATGTAGGAAAATCAAATAGAAAAAGGTATACCCCCAGAGCATGTAGAAACGAATTTTCATCATTATTTTAGGGGATCTGATCTATTTTTATTTATGTTTTTTTGTACCAGTTCAATTTTATGTGCACTGTTGCTCTGCATTTACCTGGAAATTATTTTTGGTTTTATGTTTTGTTTTTGTTTAGACAGACAAAATAAATATGCTCAATTCAATTGTGTTTCTTTTTTATTGTTCCCCGGTTTTAAAACTGAAGAACCTTCCAATTGATTCTCAGTCTCTCCTGAAAAAACTGCATTTATTTTGTCTGCCCTTAAATCCATGTTTTATTGTAACTCCTGATTCCTTGAAGGACTTTCCTTTGTGTGCAGAATTAACCTGATTGTCAGGTATTTTGTACAGGAAATAAGAGTCAGTATTTGTTGCAATACTACAGTATATGAGCTGCTAGCAGGTTTGTAAAGGATTGATAATGATAAATGTACAGTTAAAAAAGCTGACTTCGCCATTACTTGAACTCACAGCTGGCTCAGAAGCCGATCCCGATAAGTACCATGCTACTAAAAACAATAAAAACTTGTCTGTGTGCCAAGAGAAGAACAAGAAAGCAATGCATTACAATCGAAAGATGTGATAAAATGAACTTCACGGGTATTCAAGCTTCCAGGATTCAGGCATTATCATCTTTCAGTGAATGCACATAAGATGGGTCGCAGTAAGATTAATAATGGTTTATTCAATTCTACGCACAAACATATTTCTGTATCTAATTTCTTACAGCAACTTTTTTCCACATTTTATATCTTTGAATTGTTTGATGATTTGTTTAAACAAGTTCATGAACAGGAACTCCGAATGCTGTTTCGGACTTGACCTCTAGCATATAGGTGCAACCATCTGATTATACACTTCGAAACATAGGCAGTTCATGCTCAACAAAGGGAACACATGACAACATCAGAATTAACTATAGCTTCAAGTTGCCCGAAGAAAAAAAAACACAATGCAAAAAAAACTTTCACAATGTAGAGACAGAGACATTTCTCTCCGGTATATAAAAAGGTAGTCATCATATCTATTTGCCTTAATTTATAATGTAGCAGTTGAGCACAACCAAGACTCAGGGTGAGAGGGAGGAGAACCTCGTCCCTCTTTTAATGTATAAAGGTTTTTTTCTTTACATTATTAGTTTTTATTTAAAAAAAAATGTCACAACTCATTTTGAAATGTTCTGCCCATCAGCAAAATATTAAGCTTATGTGGAGACCTTACTGAGACCCATCTTTTGCCTTACCAGTCAGGATATAAAGCAGTCATTTTGCTGTCTTGCAGTAAATCTCACTGGACAAAGATTTGTTGACGAGCTATAAGATAGTGTTCTAAGGCAAGTGAAAGAGTTTTACAAAAAATACTTTTTGACAAGTACTACAGTGAATAACACATTTTGGTAGCATGTTCCTAGACTTTCCAGTAACTGACTTACTGAACACGTCTTTTCAACTTTTGGGTACTAAAGCTACCTATGATACTTAACTGAATATTAAACTAAGTTTTAGTTATAGTGGGGATACCAGCTGTATAATTGAATATCTGCCTAATTTTGTATTTTCTTTAATAATTAAAATTATAATTAAAAATTCAATGCCTGCCAATTTACAGAAGTCCATTTTAACACTGTGTTGTGTTAGTGGATTAAAGTATTTCTTTTTCATAACTTGGGCAAATTAGTTTTGCGAGAGGCAAGTGAAATAAACTGAGATAATGCACTAACATTACACTTGTTTACTTCAATTACAATCTCATTTGTTTTGTTTTTATGCTTTTTGTAAAGAAAAGGAAATTAAGAACGATTCACCTTTATTTTTCGTCAGCGAAGTAGGATACAATTTCATTTGTTCAGTATTGTATGGTTTAATTATGTATTTTATTTTATTTTATATATACAGTTTGAATGTAAGTTAGCAAATCAGTATTCCCTGATTAATTTCAGTTTGTCCTGAAGGGGGTGACAGTTCTGAAGAATGTAAGAAACAGTGAGTTGCTAAAACAAGGATTTTGCTTTGATATGCTACGTGATTTTCAGAAGAGACTGGAAATAGTTTGTGTATGGATTGACCAAACCATAATGAAGGAATATCTGTAAATATATGAATGTTTCCCAGATGTAAAAAATAAACTACTAAACAATTATACATTTTGTATCAGTATTATTACTATTACTGTTAATGTGATTGCATGTGGATGAAAAGGTCTGCATTAAAGAGATTCTTTAATGCCTTCACTTATGTGGTAACCGAGTTTCATTTTATTCAGAGATAATCGGTACATTTTCTTTACATTTTGCCTAGTGTTTTTTTTTTCATAGTGGCTAACATCTTTTTGTTCAGGAAAAAAAAAACAGATGTCTAATTCAAATCCAATCTCAGGTTGTTGTTTCTTTTTAAAGCATTTTGCTTTTAATGTACCATTCTGGAAATAAATGAATATAACCGTAATAATATACATGACCATCCATTTCCAACCACTGCTTCCAATTCACAAGAGCCTATCCCAGCAAGCAACGGTACACCCAGGTCAATATGCCAGTCCATCACAGGGCACACACAGACACAAACACATTCCCATCAGGGTCAACTTTCCCTGAAGCCAGTTAGCCTACAGGTATGTCTTTGGACTGTGGGAGGAAACCCACATAAACACAGGGAGAACACACAAACTATGCAGACATCACCCAGATCCAGAATTGAACGCAGGGCTCCAGTGCTGCAAGTCAAATCTAATCACTGTGACAACAAATGTGCAATATCAATATATAATAAATGATGATAATCTTGTTTTTTATGCTGGACTAAAATATGACATCATATGATAATGTATTGCTATTCAGGCGGCTCTTTCAACCTTGGGACAGTAAAAACTGCAATACCCGACTTGCCCAGAATTCTGTGGTTTGTGAGCAACTTAAATGTACTCTGCATCAGATAACTCCAGTGACCAGTAAAATTTACATTGGACTTTAAAGCTCTCCTATATAAGGCACCCAATGTTACAACATCTTTATAATTATACCGTACTTAGTAGGCTAGATGGACCAAATGATTTCCTTCTGTTGAGTGACAGGTTATCTTAAAGACGTATTATATAAGAAGAGATTACAAATCAGTTCTTAATCTGAGATCTGATGAGTGACTGAGCCTTCTCATGAATAGCACCTCATCTGTGGAACTCACTGCCCAAGTCTAGAAGCAGTAGTAGAAGACATTTTTCAAACTTGCTTAAAGCCCTACGTTTCATCAGTGTGATTTCCAATAATTCATCTGACTCTTTTTTTCAGAGATGATTGCTGTGCTTGTGTACAGTGTTTTGGGATAGTCGCAAAGCTTTCTTATAGACAACGTATTTCGTATTAAGCAAAGCTAAACAAAGAGATGAGGATGACAATGACAGCCTGGAATCTGGCATCTGGGATATAGAGCGGTTGTGTAGACACATAAGATCAGACCCAGAGGCAGAAAAGACCCCTCCATTAAGCATTCTGAATAACAATGACAGGTCAAATCCTAAGAAAGTAAAAAGCAAACACAGACTTCAAAGAGATGTGACGAACAGCGCATATTCACTTGTTAATGACAGAACAACTCTAATACCGAATACCATACAGCCACTGCCCTTCGGCATTTCCCAGAATGCCCAGCGCTCAGCATAAACAATGCTCTTCCGAACTGTAACAACTGCTCACTCTAGAACCATGACCTGGAAACCCATGATCTAGATGGAGGCAAAAGAGCAGCAACAAAAAGATGCGAAATGCAGCCACTGCCAGATGAGCCGAGGAACATTTTCCAGAAACAAGAAGGCAGCTGATCCCATGCACAGCAAACTTTAAGCAATCACCAGGACTCACAACAGACAACACTATTCCACCCCCGCAGTAGTTCCACTTCCTAGAAACCTGGACCTGTGGCCACTGACATGAAGTCTCATTGGCCAGCAGCACAAGTGATGGGAATCATCATAGCACTACAAAAAGGCCAGAAATGAGAGACAGTTTTTGGCCCATCAAGCTTTGTTGGTAGTTAGGAGTTAACTGATGCAGGGATCTTTGAAAGAAGCCAGGATATCGGCTTTGACAACATGGCTGGCGAGCTTGTTCCATACTCCCACCTCCCTTCGGGTAAAGAAGTGCCTCCTGCACACAGATTGAAATGCACTGACAAAGTTTCAACTCATACAGTTTAAAAAAAAGGGCAGTAAACAGTTTTAAAAACACGGCAATTTTTTTCCATGCACTTGCCTTGAGACAGAGCTCATCAAGTACAACCGATATTCATTAGCATTAGAGAGAGCCCTTGATTCTTTAGAGAGCGGAAAAAGCCACCCATATGTAAGTCCAGTATGTTGTCTGGGTGGCCCCACAGAGACAGGAGCATGATGATGATCATGTCATGATGGTGTCCATGACATGAATTCCCTGCCTCCTGAACTATTCCTCCACACATCTGACAGTTCAAATACATGTGCATTGTAGAGTTGAGATTCACTATTGTGTATACACACTTACACAAGTAAAGGAAAGGGAACTGGCACAGCTTCCCAATAGTCACTGGTCTTGTCAGGTAATTTCTCCAAACGCACTGATAAATCTTCTAGATATTAGCCGGTGCAAAATGTCAACAGTTTACTTTTGTTTAACATTCCATTAACTACTTCGTCAACTCACCCCAAAAAGAAAATATTGATTTGGCTGAAGCAATAGATGTCGATGAAATAAAAAACAGAGATTTTGAGAAAGGTGGCCAAATGCAAAGGCGTTGAAGCGACAGAGCCCAATCCCGGTGCACTAGCAATGACGCCAACAAAAGAGGAAGCAAAAAAGGAGGATTTTGTGTTGGAATCTGCATGTGGTTTAAATCAGGCTGAGGATGTCAGCACAACCAGTAATTTCAGCACGAAATGATTTTATTCCCATTAAACCTAGATAAGCCCCTGAAATTTCAGGGAACATTTTTTTTATCCCTTTTAAAACTTTACTTCATGTACTTCAGAAATTACTTTAGAAATTAGATGATCTCGGGCATAAGCAGAAAACATCCTGGCATCCTGTGGCCCACTCTCCGAAAAACGTTTGTTCATGGGCTACTTAAGCACACTTGCTAAGCATGATGAAACTGTGGAAATGCGTTGCTGAAAATTACTTTGCAACATGTTAATGACGGGGAGCATGCAATGAAAAGCTTAGACTGAAACCTGAACCCTCTTGTTTTCGCCGGTAAGAAGAAATTATACAAGTAGGGCCTTCACTGGCAACAACTGCAGCTCTGACAGGCCATTCAGAGAATGACACACCTGGGTGAGACGCACAACAGGACAAAAACACACTGCAGCTCCTTGCTTTGCTTTCCATTTAAAAAAATGCAAGAAAACCCCTTTGTTGCTTTGCGAAGATCCAACAAACGATGCACACTGAGACATCCTAAATCAAGAGGGTGCTTACAAATATAATTTCCTGAAATAGTAAAGAAAAGCTATGGTAGCAGATGTGGCAGGTACAGTACCCTTTACAAGTCCAAGTTATGTTCTTAAGTACTGCAACGTATAGCAAAACGATTTACTGTATAAAGGGGAAATAATATGCATAACAAATAATGTACAGTAATAAGCTTCATATATGTACGTTGCCAATGCATGTACATATAATTATAGCTATCATCCATGAGAAATAGAAAAACAGCAGACAAGTGTGTTATTCTTCCTAGTTTGTAAATGGATCTGCTGAAAAGTAATCCAGGAAGGGCTATCCCTGTCAGCAGCTGCTTGATGGTGGAGGAGGTGTCTTTTCACAGCGAGAATCTCACTAACGCATCGCCGCTCACAAATAGCACATCACGTTATACAAACACATGATTTCCCAGTCATGGCTGAAGGTTTACACAATTACATTGATAAGATGACGCAAGTGCTCTTCAAAATTTACAGCCAGTGAGCAGGACGACGCAGAGGAGTGTGGTGTGACTTCTGCTGTCAACACTACAGCGCCTACAGAAACGCATCCAGGCTGCCCGGCCTACATCACTGACTTGTGGCAATCTGGAAGCAACGTAAGTGAGGATGTGTGTGACATATAATTAATTTACTTTCCTTAATTAATTGCTGACAAATATGTGCAAAATGACAAATTTCAAGGCAACAGATAATGGTGACCCCCTGTAACAGCTTTGAATCAGTCAGCCTCCATCTTCACGTACAGTATGAATAGTAATATACTTTATGTGCAAGGGGTTGTTTTACTGATGCCAGCCTAATTAACTTTACTTAAGCAATTATTTGTTTCATGCACGTCGCTGTGCTGCGCTTGCTATCTCACAAATGGTTAAAAGGAGACATCCGTTGAGGATGCTTTATCCTGACAGTCTGAGCAGCCAGTCTTTGTCTGGAGGTGCTGGTGGCTGGGGGAAAGGGGAGGAGGCCTGAATCTTTTCAGTAGTTAGCAACACCCCGCTGTCAGATAGGCACTCATCAAGGTCAGAGTGCACAAATGAATCCCGTGCCCCCATGATACCATGAACCCCAACACAGCACACATTCACATTCTGCAGGAGGAAACGCATGCAGACTCCAGAGCAATCCAGGGCAATCTGTTCCCAGTCCTGGTCCTGGTGACCCACATGCCTGCCGGTTTCTGTACCAGCCGAGCCCCCAGTTACACAATCAAAGCCAACAGAGCTTCAGCGGTTGTATTTTGCCAGTGAAATAAAATCTCAAATCTTGTGCCGGGAAACAAAAGCTAAATATTTCAGTGAAGTGACTTCTTAGATCAAGTAAGGCTTCACTTATGTACTGAATGTACTGGGCTGGAATTAAAACCAGCAGGACCAGGACTGGGAACCACCAGCACAGGACAAACCACTGGCCCCCCCGACGGGACGCCACTCTGCAACAAGGGGGTGCAGAAAGGGATCCCACAAACGCAGAGGGGGCATACAAACCCCCTAACCACCGTGCCACATCTGCCCCCGATAATGAGTGTCAAGAATAACAATAACAGAGTTTGCATTTTGCACCAGTTAAAGGAAAGCTCTATATTTTCTCAGGATCCCTGCCAAGAACACTAGTATTTGAAGTGAATCGTTTGAGGCCAATGGCATTAAAATAAAACATTTTAAGCATGCTTTTATGTTGTCAGCTTAAAGCAAAAATATGACTTTTCCATCTACCTTGGTTTTCGATACTCGTACCATACAGACCCTTCAGAGTTTTGTTCCTGCTTAGATTAACTTACAGACAGGGCAATTTCTAAAGGAATCCTAAACAAAACCAGCAAGTCTGGTACCATTTCAAGCACCTCTTTCCTGGGGAGTAGTCCTCATCACAGTAGTAAAATCTCTTAAGTGCTATTAAATCATATAAGTATCTTAAAAGACCAATAAGTTAGGAATCTGGGCATACTTATTCCTTTAACGCCACCAGCATCACTCTATACATCACATCTTTTTTGCTCTCAAGGCATTTTGTTTTTAATTGCAAGGCCAAAACATTTACAAACTGATGTAAGCAACACAATCCGGGATACCTACTCTCACTGCTGGTGAAGATAATTATTTAATTTCATCTGCGTTCCTTAAGAATACCATTAACTACAGGTAATTTAAAAAGTTTAGCGATTCACCTGTGTCTGAATGAAAAAAAAATAGTTGATGCTAACCTATATATATATATTTCACAAAATACTGGACTATATAAAATTTTAGCATTATGTTGATTTTTAAATCTTTGAAATATTTCAGGTTTAAGCTTTAAGATACCAATTAAAATTGTGAGACCTTTGGAATAAAAAAATGCAAATCATAGGACTTTTGTCTGTCTTGGGGTGTACTAAATGTTTCAATTCTAAAGATCCAAGTAAAAATATTCTAGGTCTAGGTTTCGGTCAAGCTGAATTAAGTTGTGCAATACACTTTTGTTTCCTCAGCAACAGCTATCTGTTACAGACCTCATCCTCCATACTCCTCTAAAAACAAAATAATGTTTATATTAGGATAATGACGTATTGCAAAAAGACTGTGCATTATTCATCTGAGTACCAAAGTATTTGTACAAAACAATCTTTATTGAAACAAAGTGACCAAAATTTGCCACAAACATTGCACAGTACGAAAGTAAGAAATCACATAATAGGGTGTCTTCTCACATTATTGATGCACAGCGTTATTTAATTTTCATCTAACAGTTTTTAGCGGTGATATAAAAAAGTCTTGAATTCTAACTAGCGTAGTGTTGTATTTCCAGTTCACGCATATGATACAGGTCCCACTAACGTGACACAAGGCACCTTCTAGCGCATATGTTCCCTTAGCAAAGTTACTGGCCATTTCTACTCAGTATCATGGCTCAGATAAATGTGGAACTGCTACAAAAGTAAAGTTTAAATGCCCCCTATCAGTGAGAAAAGCTAACAAATAACTGAACAAAAAATGACCTCTCTTTCAAAAGTAAAAAAACTATACTTATTTATAACACGAAACAAAGAACCTCTTAAACTACAGTAGTGACTAAGCTCATCTTTTATATCAAAAAAAGGTACAAATTAAGACAGGGAAATGACCTTTTTGGCCCTAATGTGCAAATGAACAAGGCAGAAGTATTGCAAACTTGTTTGCAAAAAAAAAAAACACAACTGGAAACGAAGAGTCCCACTGAGACTTGATTTTATAATAACAAACCATTTATGTTCAGGAGACTCCCGTCTCAGAATAAGGGATTGTAAGAAAGCTGCAGTCTGCCTTGTTTTTTGGTCCTCTGTTTACGTAAGAAAATAACAAAAGTAAACAAGGCGTCACAACACTGTCCACCAGGTCCTCCATGTGACTGGATGAGTCCACCGAAATGGAAACGAGCAGGCGTGGTCTCCAAGGTGGCCCGTCAGCGACGTAGTTCAGTTCGGACCATCCAGTTGACGCTTAAGACACGAGCTGTTTGGCCTGCAGTTCCATCTCCGCTGCCCGTTTCAGTGCAACATCCACCAGCAGCTGAAAGCCACTGAAGTCCTGCGTCAGGTCCGGGGGGGTGGGGGGAGGAGTGTTGAAAAGCCCGCCCTGAGGGCTGGAGTTCCCCTCCAGCGCTCCCGCGCCATGGCACTTGTGCAGGCCGGGAGCCGCCGAGGAATGCAGGTCTGTGGGTCTGTCCGTGCTGATGGCCTGGTAGTAATGCACAGGGCCGCCCTGCACCGCGGTGATCGTAGTGTGGCATATTACTGACGGCCGGGGGAGTGCGGGCCCCGGAGAGGGGCCCTTCGGGGACGGGCTTTTCTTGGCCAGGACAGGATCCATGCTCGAAGGGTGGAAGGACCTCTTGTCCACGCCTTCTGAAACGAGAGACTTGGGGGACAGAGAGCTCTCCGTCGCACCGGCCTCACAAACCTTACTCCCCTTCCGCGAAATGGTGAACTGGTTCGGGTCCTTCCCGTCTTTCCTCAGCATTTCTGGGAGCAGTCTCCGGCGGGCATTGATGAACCAGTTACAGACCTAGAGAGCACAACGTCAGGAGGCCTGGTTTTTACAAAGGTCTTCAAAGCTTTTATTTTTTTTCACGGATACAGCTTTTTTAAACTACTATTGCTGCGGAAAATTAGACACCCGAAATACACAGCTTTTATACAGCACGGACTGTTTAAAACTCACACTTAACTAGATGATCTTTTCCAGATGTAAATCTAAGGGGATAAGCCAGTGCACTTTGACAGAAACACTGAACCACCAATACTTCACATACTGTACAGCAGTTACAGCATTGAAGGAAAATCTTCCCAGTCATCCCAGTGAGGCACGTCTAAATCAGTAAGCGTAATCAAAACCTAATTTTGGACATACTGACCACGGGATATTTAAATACTTCAATCTACTGACAATCACCCTTCTGCTAAATGTCACTACTGTATTTGAATAAGATTTAAATAATGAAACTATTTTTAAAAAAAGATTTAAATAATGAAACTACTATCAACTAGTGGTCTACCTTGTACTATCAGCATAAACGGGCAACCAAACCACAGAAATAATGTTCTGTGAGAGAGAGATGTCAGCCCTAGAAACACCAGTAATTTATTAATCCCGTGAGGGAAATTGCAGAAAAAAAGTACCAGGAAGAGTAAAACAGCGCTTTTCCTTTTTTGTGCAGGCAAAAGACAACGTGAGGGGGAGGCTGCAGTCGGCAGGACACATGCACTGACATAAAACAATAAGACTAAATAAGTAAAAAAAAGCCAAAAAAGCTGCACTGTGTGAAATGTAACCATTGAGTTATAATGCTACTTGAACTATCATCTGTAATTATAAATGTGATAAGGTTAAGTACTCAAAGGCCCTACAGTACTTAGGGAAAACAATGTGAAGAGCAACTGTCTTGGTTTAGAATAGATGGCTCAGAAATGCGCAACACTTAACATGCAAATGTCTCTGTCACACTATTGTTCACAAGCAGCAGGGTAATGAAAAGCAGGGGAAATTCCTGTGTGAATACTGTAGCACCTCCCACAGAAAGTGAGTAATTTTCCTTGCTCAACTGACTGTGTAATCTTCAGTGCCAGGCATTACGTCATCTGAATTTGACTTTATCACACTGTTTACATATCAAGCCACTTTTCTGCTCTGCAGCCAAAGGACTGGGTAACATACAGTTTTGTTTCTTTTTTGAAAAGTGGAAGGTTTGTGAACTTCTAGACATGGCTTTATCACAAAAACACAGAATGACAGCTCTGTCAACACAAGTCAACTGTGTGTTCCTGAAAGCCAGTGAGCAAACAGGCACATTTTAGGTACCTTTCAAGAGCATGCCTGAGTCACATGCACGCTTATTCACACAGCTTTTAAAAAGGCACGACAGAAATTAAAGCGACAATACAGTGCCATCGAGTTACTCCAACATTTTGGAAAAACTGAATATCACTCTGTAAGCGAGTCTTACTTGTAGTGTTGAGAGGCGTGTCTGCTTGGAGAGAAGTGCTTTCTCTTGTTCTGACGGATAGGCATTGTAGCGGTGCTCATACAGCCACTCCCTCAGGATCTGCACCGACTCTTTGGGAAGATTCCCCCGTCTCTTCCTCTTCCCGCTCCCCGTGCTGGAGGACAAGTCCAGCGGAGCGTCCATGCTGTCCTCGTCCTCCGTCTCGCTGCCGGACAGCGATGGCATGGCTGTGAAAATAAGGCACGGAGCTCAGTTCGCTCTGCGGGCCTGAGACAGGCCAACGGCTGATCCCCCCCCAAAAAAAAACAAAAACCTGCTCAAAATCCACAGTCACTGTCCTCAAGCTACGTTGAGAGACAAGGTGAGAGGGAATCACACGCTCCAGTGCGACGAGGTGTCAAGTGAAAACCTGCCCAAACAGACGCAGAACACGCCTCCATTTCTGGCAGACGCACAACACTTCAGGAAGCCCGTCTCAGGGCTTCAGGGCCAAAACCACTGGGACAGGTCCTTCGATGGAAAAAAATCGTCCTAATTTGTGCAGGAAAATACCAAGTGGCCGTGTGTAGTGGGACAGCAATGTGAGTGCACTTCACTGGTGAACCAGGTGGGGCTGCACACAGGTGGAGGTGGAGCAGAGACCCCATTACCTGTAAAGCGCTTTGAGCGGAGTGTCCAGAAAAGTGCTACATAAGCATAAGCAATTATTATTATTATTTTTACTATGTGTTAAGTCAATACAAATACAAATGCAAGCAGTTATTGTTGTAAAGAGACTTGAATTGATCAATTACATGGGAATTGTTTGGGTTTTTTTTTTGGGGGGGTGGGGGTTGCTAAAGCTTCTTCGGAAATTCACTTGTTGTGTGTTGAATGTGCTTTAACTCATTTTCGAAACACAAGAGAGGGACAAGATTGACAAATTAACCAGGTTGCCAAGGCCTCTACACAAAGCTTATAGGCCTAGAAGGTTCAAAACCGCAGAACAGACAGTTGTCCGAAACCTTAAATCTCACCCTCCCCTCAGAACTTCCTCTTACAGCTAAGAGAACATACAGTAATTTCTGAAAGTCCCAACAAATACAGAGATGCCAAGACGACATGCAAAGTTCTAATCAAATTCCAAAGAGCAGCTATATAAATGTGCTCTGAATCCTTTATCCTGTCAGGCAACTTTCTCTGACAGCTGTTACAACTGTGTAATTAACTCTTTGCAACCCAATTTCCCAAACGCCTCCCATAATGTCGAAGCAGGCGACGTTAGCCTTTGGTAAACAAATAAATCCACCAAAAACACATTACAAAACATTAAAAGGAGAGGAAGCTGCTTTAAACTTTTACTCCATTAAGGAACATAGATAGATGTTCACTCACATCTTTAAACAGAAAATGTCTGAGACACACGTGGCATGTTTTCAATGAAGTCATGTCGAGGTTTGTCAAATTGTAATTCATGAAAGGACACATCGCTAAGAGGCCAACCTAAAAACCGTCTGACTACTCCGGATTAATGAGTAATTTTATAGCTGTGTCGCTGTCAATGGTTCGATGACGTTATCTTTAAAATTGGGGTAGAAAACGAGACAAGCACCGCAAAGTATGCAGCCATGACGTAAAACGTTTTTAATTAATATAGACGAAAATCACTAAATCAGTGGATGTTTTTGTTTTGTAAAGATTATTCCCTGGTTAACACACGTTTCAGGATTTATGTTTCTAGCGTCAAATCTGTTTTTCTTTTCTTAAAAGAAAACTTCACGCTTCTTGAAGACCTGTTGCAGGACTTAACAAAAGAATCTCAGTCTCCGTCCGCGTCCTGTGCAATTCAATCTGTGCTATTTCACACTTTCCAACCGCACATTTTGAAAAATAAAATACCCAGGTTTTACCGGGGAAAAAATGCTACGGGGGAAATACATCGAGTCCTGATTTTATTTTTTAAGTCGTTTGCAACACGGGTGAAAAACAAAAGGAAAAAGGCTGATCCGAAACTAGTTCTATTGTGTGCTCAGTAACACGAGGTTGAAGAATGTCTAAGCCCAGCCTGAGGCAGGAAGGAAGACAAACAGTAACTTGATAAAGGAGGTCAGGTTATAACGTTTTGTTACCAGACGCTGAGCTAGACACAAGTTACACGAGTCTGCACGTTTCCAAATCTAATATTAAAAAAAAAAACCCGAAAGAAAGTTAAAAGATGTAACCACTGCACTGACCGTGTACGTATAAGTGCAGTCGAGTGTGAATAAGTGAAAAGTTAAAAAAAGAGACTGCGTAATAAAGCTAGCGTTTCGAGCACACGGAAACTACCAACTTTAACTGCGTTTCTCTTATTAAACGCGTACTTTTGAAGCCGTCGAAATTCATTCTTTTTTTTAATTTAACAGATAAAAGTCGACCCGTCTCAAACTAAGTTGTAAACGAAAACAGCATGCCTCACGAAGTCCTATTTGTTTTACAAAAATCTTGGGGGTTTTTATCCTACGTGCTAAGTGAATTTAAATAAATTTGAACACGTTTAGTCCGTTGTATTACTTCAGTTTACGTTAGCGTAAAAAACAAGGCGAACAAGGAAACCAAACAATTTTGACAGCCCGCCAGCACATGGAAAAAACATGTTTTGTCTGGAGCGGAAAAAAATGGCACACACGCCTCGAACATCATACAAAGCCTTTTTCAAAATGTAAAGTGCAGGTCTGGGTTACACAACATCTACGTATAACAATATTACTAAATTGGGTTTTGAAAAACCAACAGTTTGCGAGCGTGACACGTACCTTTTTTTGCTTTCATCCTGGTCCACAATTTCCTTTCACGTTACAACAGAAATGCAGATACGAGAGTTTTATATTCCAAAGTCGCAGTTCGTCTTTTCCAGTTAAACCACACCGAAAATCCAGAGAGCGAAATCGTTTTTGCGCTGGTTTCTTGAGGTCTTAAATGTCTCTCCGGCGTGCTCATTTGTTGCAAACAAAACACATTGTCGAAGTACCTGAAATCTCCAGTTACCCTCGGCTTCGCTTCTTGCTCAATGTGTGTTTGATCATTAAACAGGGTGACAGCTATCTTTGACAGCTGCGTGACTCAACGCTGTAAGGTCCACCCACCAGCGCGAAAGAAAAAAAAAATCTGACATCAGCATGCTAAACCCAGTGAAATGAAAACTTATTTTCTCCAACTCAGCTTGTACGTTAAGGACAATCAGCTACTCTAATTGAAAAGGAGTATATTACGAAGAAGGTGGCTGCTTGCTGAAAGAGAAATTAAATAATATTTTACAGAAGCCGAGGTAATGTTTAATCGGTCTTTTTAAAAGGTTAAACACATGATTAATGACAAGAAATTGACTCAGTGAAGCGGTATTATTTGTTGTAAAGACAGTAGTAGTGCCTGTGGTATTTAATCTTAAGACTCTGTAGTATTTCCACATTTTTAAGTGTAGTTGTAGCTGTAATAGGCCCATTTTATTTTTTTCTTTTCAATAAATGTTTGAACCTCAGACTAATGCTAGGTATGTATTTCTAAAATACATTTCATCTTATTTCTTTGACACAAAACCTAATCTTTTCTGTATGCATCATTCATCTGTCGTATAACCCTATATAATAAGAAATATACAAAAGTATCCAGTTACTGGTAACTTTCTAGGGCTAAGCAAAGACCAGCGTCATTGATTAACATATCTGCTTCGTCTAGCACATCTGTAGAGGTCTATAAATTGTGCATCATGTGAAAGAGAGAGTAAGGTTTATTTAGTTTTTAGATAACATAAACTATTTCTCAGTTAAACATGAATTTCTGCAGAAAGGTAATTACGCAGTGATGCAGGAACTACCTGAATATTCAATATCCTTAAGGTGCTGTGTATGGATTTTGTTGCCATGTAATAAAAAGAACTTTGCTGCTCTGGAATCAGATCAAGGCAGGGTAGCAGCAAACATCATCGCCTTAGTGAAAGGTAGTGATAGGTTAAGGAAAATGAACATCTTGAGTCTCAAACAGAGGACACTACGAAATGACCTGATATTTTAAAAATCCTAGAAAGTATTAGGCTCGTCTCTAAAAAGTAAGGAGAGATCGTTGAATTTATGAATTTCCATTTTTCCTCCCCTCTGAGGAAGTTAGACACAGACATCTGATACTCATGTTAAAGTTGCCCATTTCTGTTACTTCAGCTTGTGTGCTTGTGTGGGCTGTGTGCAGCTCAGGTGTGGCAGACCCGTGCATTAACATGTTAATTGCAAGGTTCACATTCCAGTCATCTGCTGCTGTGGTTGGACTGTGTACACCACTGCTTTGATATTCAAACACCTTTCAAGACAGGGCCATTGAAGCTGACAGACCCCTGAAAGAATAGGTGTAACTCTCATTTGATTGCACTAGTCTGACCAGCGAATATTTAAAGAACCTGAGAGTGGTGACTAACAAGATGGGGCCATTTGGCACAGCAAGCTCATGTGGTTTTTCAGTAGATAAATGATCCAAGGATGTCATCCAGCCATTTGTTGAAAGAAGCCAGGGTATTGGCTTCAATAGCATAGTTGGGCAGCCTGGTCCTTACTCCCACCTCCCTTTGTGTAAAGTTATCAGGTGTAAATGCACTTCTCTGTAGCTTACACTTTTGTCTTCTGCTTTATGTTGACTCTGAAGACACCCAGTGGGTTGACTTTATCACTGCCCTTGAAGATGTGAATACTTAAATTGCCTTCCCTGCTTCCCCTCTGTTCAAGATGAAAAAGGTTCAATGCTTTTAAACTGTCAGTGTAGAAGATTCCTTTTAACCACAGGAATGTTTCTCATTGCTCTTCTGTTGACTGACTCAAGAGAAGAAATATCTGTTTTTGTATCTTGGTGACCAAATTTACACACAGTATTTTCAAAGAGGTCTTACTAAGGCACTCTACATTTTCAACATAACATTAGCGGATTTGAATTTTACAAATTTAACTCAACAGTGTATTCCTTTTGATTGTTTCCCCACAATGTCTAAAAGATGAAAACAAAGTGTCTACATAAATACCGGAGTCATTGTCATAAGTAGCCTACAACACCTGCAAGAAAGAACTGAAACCAGACTGAAGATTTATTGTTTAGACATCAAACAGTATTCTGTGCTCTACATGGTAAGGAAAGGCTTTCTGAGCTGTGCCCTCTACCATCAGAGATACAGAGACACTCTGGTTGTTCAAATAAGAGCACTCTTCACAAAGTGTTGGATTTGTATAAAGAATGTGATGGATGGCAAGAAAAAGTCTGGGAAGGGACACAATTTTGTCCTCAAGGTTATAACTTTGAAAAGACTTCTAAAGACCAGTGTATTTGCCCCTATCGGTCTATTGGTCCCAAACTGCATCCTAGCCTCTGAAGGAGAGACAGCTTGAATCCCATCTTAAGAGTGAGTCATTGCACGAAACCGTTTACATTATAGTGCAGCAAATGCAAATGAAGGTGGGAAAGCTATCTCCTGATGCAAGTTGCCTGTGGATATTTCAGTTTCAGGGGGGGAAATGAAGTGCTTGAACCCAGATGGAAGCCCCATTATTGTTTCTATTAATTCCATCAACCTGAGAAAGGTATGACATGAAAGATGAGCTTCTTCTGTGCACAATGCAAGGCACTGTTGAAAATCCAGTATTCTGATAAGTGACAGAGTGACTATTCACTGCTACAATTTCAGGTATAGCCCCCAAAACTCAGAGGATTGTGAGCAGACATGCCACATTTGTATATCTTGAAAGCAGTGAGGGAATGCACAAATGTATTATATCTTGCTTTGTTTTTTTTTTTGTTGGGAGTCTAGCTGAGATTTGCTAACAGTGAAAGGAAAACTAAGCTAAGATGCAGTGAAAGCAAACCACTAGTTTGATATTTATGCCCTCTGAAAAGATTTGATGTGTTAGACACTGAAAAATGTTAAGCTTCCACAGCAGGGCTCTGGAAGAACAAAACAACTTCTGTCATGTTATTCATGATGATAGAAGAAACATTTGAAACTTTAGAGGCAGAACATAGCACCTCTATGTTTATAGGTGTCAGCATTTCTGAATGTGTGTGGTGATGGGTACAGCACTTTTACTTACTTGATTGCTTATTCAGAGTTTCCTCTAATAAAGTCATGCATGATTGCTTTAAAATAGAAACCTTTCTGATTGCTTTAGAACAGAAACATCTCTGGGTTTTGGGGGTGCAAAAATTAAACCATTAGTATATTAATGAGTCTACAGATAGTTTACAATATTTTGACCAGTAAGCTTAAGCATTAACATTTCAACACTTAGGTTGCACAGTGACCCAGTGATTAGCATTGCTGCCTCGCAGCGCTGGGGTTCTGGGTTCAAATCCCAGACCTGGACTGCTGTCTGTGTGGAGCTTGTATGTTCTCCCCACGTTCGTGTGGGTTTCCTCTGAGTGCCTTCGTTTCTTCCCACAGTCCAAAGACAAACTGGACGGTTATAACATTGGATTCTTGGAAAACTGGCACTGCTGTGAGTGTGTGTGCCTGTGTGGCCTGTGATGGACTGGCATCCTGTCCAGGGTGTATCCTGCCTTGTGCCCATCTCTTGCCAGGATAGACTCCAGCTGCCCCTCGATTTCTTTGTCCTGTATTGGATAAAGCAGATCACAAGTGGAAGGATGATTTTTAAACTATTTTCATAGATGCTGTCTTTTTCACCCAGCTTGATGATTTTATTTGTGGTTTCCATATAATAACTCTTTTCTTAGCAGTGCTCGGCAGCACCAGAGAGGGGTCATATGACTGTGTGCTAATGCAACGGGGCCCGGGAGCCGACCTGATTGTCTTGAACGGTCTTGTGGTGTTGGGGAGTTCGCCAATGTCTGAATAGTTGTGCAGTGTAGGCTCTGAGCTCGCATGCGACCCTAATCCTGCCCCAGGAAGAACATGGCAGCATCCACCACATTAGGACTCTGCACAACAGCTTTGCCAAGAGAATGACCCCAACCCTGAGGATGATACATTGGTACAAGTAGCTTAGAGAAGACCAGTTTTTAAAGTGATATCGACAAGATGGCAGTTATATAAGCTCTTTACACCCTGTCTCTCTCTGTAGGTTAGGATTTGCCATGCAGCAAGTGTGCCCATCCCAATACCAGTGGAATATATACTTGTATGTATGTGTCCATATGTCTGCATCAAGGCATCAAGGCGATGAAGGTTTCCGAGAATCCGCATATAAATATGCTCAGGAGAAAATTGAGAAATTGGGAATGAAAGCAGTCATACCATTCGCACCAAAATAAATGCAAATACACGGAGAAATAAATTTGTGTAATAGAACACAGCTGAGCCCTGGACTCTTACTGGATGTTAGTTAGAGGTCACATTAAATAAATTTCATATTCAGAAAACGTATCACATTAGTGATATTTGGCATACCAGAAACAAAATTTGCCCAGATTTAGGGCGTGGAGACCAAATGTCGTCATGCAGGCACAACACCAGAATTATGGGAACACATCTGTGTACAATCTGTGTAAGTGTTGTGACCCCCTAAACTGCACCACAAATGCAAACAAAGAGGCGTGCTCCCTTTCCAGGAGTTAGCATGTTTTAAAACATTCTCCTGCAGCCCAAGGCTTGCTCGATGAATTTGACATTTTCTGTACTAATCGAGCTTCCTTCACTTCATAAGCTATGAGGAAAGGGACATTGACAACTGCCCTTCCTCACCTTAAAGATTTTCATCCTTGAAATCCATATGCCCCTGTAGCCGACTGTTAACAGCCTGAATTTTAAGCACATATTTAGTCTCTTCTTAAAGTTTCTGGATCATGATTTAAAAACCCTCCGAATTATCAACTCCAGACATTTTGTTCATAGTCTTCTCCACATTGCAGAAATGGTTTTAATATGCTTCTGACACTCTGAATGACTACATATTAATTACTTTTCCAGTCCGACCCCACCAGGCCTGGAATATATGAACTTCACAGCATGATGTTATTGCCCAGAGGTCTTGAACTAGGCACAACTAGAATGTTTATATGTGTGTTGTGTGTCTTGTAAATCCTTGACCAGATTCACAGGGGTTCACTGTTGCCCACTAGCTCTTT